TTAGGGAGGAGGGTTTAAGCCCTCCGTGGCGTGTGCTTGCCCCTGTCCCAGCCACAGCGGTGGGGACCAGCGAGCCGATGGGATGCCTCCCAAAAGCGATTTTATGTGTTTAACAACAAATGTCAGGCAGAATCCCACAGATGAGTAACTCGCTGCGAATGTTCCTCCTCTTCTTTCCACTTGACGAGCAACTAGTTTAGGGAAGAAATTTGGGTCATTTTTTCCCCAGGGATGTTGCTGTCCAAGTTTTCCGCAGCAGTCCTCTGGCCTTTTTCCCACATGACTGCTTTCAGTGCCGGGGTGTGTGTTTCTTCCCTCGGAAAACGCAGCCGGCACTCCCTTCCGAGGTGGAGATGGAGGTGCGTGAGAGCACGGACCCTTGCGGTTTCGGGTACCAAAAAGCCTTTGTGCCTGTAGGAAAGCCCCCGGTCGTTGTCATGGAAGCTGGTTTTACCAGAGGAGCAGAAAAACAACCCTTCAAGGGATTTCAGAAGCACAAGGGACAAAACCAAGGGGTAACGCTACAGGAAATGCCTGAGGTGCAGCAAACAAAACCGTGCCGTACATCCGCAACGCTTCTCGTGGGATTTCCAACCGGTACAAAATTCCAGAGTGAAAAAGCACCTGCTCTAGTTTCTCTGGTAGCTTTTGTCCCCCGGAAAGCTTGGCAGGGGGCGAAGGATCTTTCCACCTCTCTACCACCCCTGACCTCCCTGGAGATAGATTCCAGCCGACTTCTACCAGAAAACGGTGCCAAAAGGGACTTTTTTAGAGGACACCCAGCCCATAACCCAGGGTGGGTTCAACCTGTTTTTCCTGATTGTCCAAATCGCTTTTGGGAAAACCTGTAGACATAGGAACGCTGGGGAGTAATTTCTTCCAGCCTCTGCAAAAGGGCCCCAAGACGGAGGCAAACCGGAGCTGCGGCGCTGCTCCGGGTGGAAGCTGCCGGGCAGGAGCAGAGGCAGAACCCGCTTTCCCCCACGTGTGACCACTGGGGCGTGTGGCTGCCAGTCGCCAGCTACACTGACCAGCTTAATTTTGTGTGATTTAAAGGGATAACGGTCAATCCCAGCCACAGCACCACTCTTTGCCTTTCTTAGCAGACCCCTCTGCAAGCTCTCCCCTTGGACTAACACCAGCAAAGTCCCGGGATTCTGGTTCATAACGCAGGGAAAAGCCTACACCAGCTCAGAAACCTTCCAGTGCTCTGATCCAGGTTTTTAGCCGTGGACTGTCGTAACCTTACGCTTTCCAAACCCACGACGGTTAGTTATGCATGAGCACACAACTTCTGGAAATCATGACTAACCAAACGGTCTCATGCCCAGCTAAAACCTCATCGCTGAGGAGAAGCGAACTTCCAGACTTGCAGCAGTGCCCTTTTCCTCGAGATTGCTCTGTAATGTGTCAAGCCAGATCCTTGCCTGAAGCGAACCGATGGATGTGCTGGACGTGTCGGTGCATTAATGATGTGATAGGATGTGTCAGCAGCACAGAAGCAGGATCATAAGGAAGAAGAGACTAAAAATAGCTCAATTAGCAATAAAACAACCCTAGGGCACTGGGGAGGGCAGTAAACCCATTTCTCTATTGCAGGCCGCTTTCAGTTTGGGGTAGGAAGGGTGGCCAGGGGCACAGACCCCATAGATGCCTTCTTGCTTCCTCACCCTGCTCCGAGACAGACGGTACCACCCAGAGCCGTAAATAAGCTGTTGGACCTCGTGCAAAGCTGTGTCTGGTCCATCCTGGCATTTCCCCTGGTTCTGTGGGATGGGATGGCACGGCGAGCGGGATAAGCCCTGACATCAGCATCACCATCGGGCCGCCGCAGCAAGGCTAACGCGTCCCCGTGGCCGCGTACTAGGGTGGGATTAGGTAGTTCCCGCAGAACATGTGGTAACTCGGTTATCCTGTCTTTCCATAGGTAGAGATGAAGATGAAATTGCTGCCACATGGATAGCGCCGTGATGCAAAGATTACTGAAAAGCATGAAAAGTGGGGTTTTGTGTTGTTTTTAAGGACAGCTCTTGCCTCCCGCTGCTAAAAGCCAATGAATGTTTGCACAGCAGGGACATTCCAGTTGGGTGAGAGGAAGTTAATTGGCTGCCAATGTTCAAATAAGGTAAGTAAACCAACCAACAGGGTTATCAGACACTCGGCTTTAGCTCAGCGTAAAGCGTGCTGAAGGAAAAAGTGATCCCCAAGTGCGGATGAGGAATCCGTTTCACCTTGGGAAGATAAAGTGGCTCTTCAGAGAAATAACTTGCTGTGAACAGACACGGGCAAAACAGGTCTGAAACGTACCAAAAATTTAAAGAATGGATGACACCAGAAGGACCCAAACAACCTCGCATTGGTTGGAGGTCACTTGCAATGCCGAAGTGTTTTAAATAAAACGCTGCCTGTAAGGCCCAAGATAAAGCACAAGTGAAAACGAGGAGTTGTTGCTGACTAAATTACTGATCCAGAGTACCAGAGTTATCAGCTACCAGCATAGCAACTCAGACCATCCCCGTGGGATTTTGTTAGTGGAGCTTAGGCACTGACTACGATCCCTTTTCAGAAAGCTTTCTGCACCATGGATTTGTTCTACTCCATCGGTCTGTACCGAGGCAGCGTTAGCAGAACAGACCAGCTTCTAGAGACCGAAGCTGCAATAAAACTAACTGAGGGAGACCAAAACCAGCACGCCTCCCTGGTCTCCTGGGGAATAGCGAAAGGAAAAGATCTGAGAAGGGTGTGTGGAAAGCTTGGAAAACCCCTAGGGTCCCATTCAACTGACATTTCACTTGAGTCAAGTGTTTGGTCTCAGTGAGGCACTTTTGGCCACCACTCACTGTTTTATATCTTGTTTAATTGTTAGCACCAACCCTGCCAACCGAAACAGGACCAGAGAGGCACCCTGCAAAGACTCAGGCCTTCGGAGGCGGCCAAGGGAGAGATGTCCCTCGTACCAGCAGCCACTGCACGCCCCACACCTGCGTACGCTCGAGACTCCCAGCTCCGCACCACCTGCAGCACCCAGAGAAAGCGCCACTTCTTACAGCAGGCGAGGGATCTGCAAGGGATGCTCTGCCTTCGCCCCGCGTAAGAAAGCGGAGACGGGTCGCTAGGATTACAGGAGCCTAATGAAATCCCTGGCACCCGGGTTAGAGCTACCGTCCTTCAGTTCCTCTGGATGCGGCGCCCACATTGGCACCGTGTGAACTCAAACTCGGTGCTGCCTTCTACCGCCTGCTCTGACAGCAGCAAGTACTTGAAAGGGGTTTGGGGTCTCATCTGAGCTTGTCGAGCCTTCTCTTAGCCCGGCGTTACCGAGAAGCAAGATTCCGCCTTCCAGCCTGCAATTATTTCCATGGTCTCCCCATGCGCAACGACACGCTCCAGCTGCCCTTGTGCTGTGATCCCGACGCGAGGGAATCACAGAATCCTTGGGTTGGAAGGGACCTTAAAGACCATCTAGTTCCAACCCCCCTGCCATGGGTTGGACTAGACCAGGTTGCTGTTAGGAAAGATTTCTTCCTTGGAAGAGCTGTCAGGCGGTTCACATTCTCATGTAAAAACGCATCTGCCGCGAGGTGCGGGCTGAAAACTTCACAGAAGGTTCTTCAACAGATGCCAAACAACGTATCTTTACACAAATACTTCTAACTCGCTCAAATACAGCCTGAATAACCTCCCCTCAGTTACGTAAGCGAACAGCAGGGAACGACATGTGTAAGAAGAGGCACTTGGAGAAACGTTACGGGGACGTCAGCAGAACTCCTAGCTGGGGAGCTGCATGAGCACTATTTGGCTTTCTGCTCCTTCCTGCATTTCAGAAAACCAAAGGGCTAAGTACCTCTACGTCCAAACACCAGTTGCAACATGAGGAGTTTGAAGAAGTAGGAAGCTTTATTGCATACTGGTTTCTCCCTGCCTAGAGCTTCAGCTTTCGGCCTAGAAAGATCACAGAGAGGGCCTCGATTCATTCCAGTTACAGAAGACACCGATTATTCTTACAATTAAAGAGAACACACAACAGAGAGATTGGCAGTCGGAGCAAGGCAGTGCTTCTGGAGCTCAGGTCCTACTACAAATACCCATTTTAAACTGCCGGGCAGTTGTTGGCTTCGTATCTGTGTTTACCACAGGTAAGGTACAAATCAACACGCCAAGTGAACACGGAGGCGTAACCAACACTGTTCTCCCCGTTCCACAAACGGCAGCGTGACGGGGCCAGTAACACCACCTACAGTAGCACGGGGCTGGAGCAGCAAGTTATCTTCTCAGTCAGCAGGGTCAACCATTCCCCTTTTGTATTCACCTACCCACTTCCTTCGGGAGTTCCTTCACGTCACTGGCCCCTGGCCTGTCGGACTAACAAACCAAGAATCACAAAGGAATACAGTAGAAAAATTAAGTCCTGCGCATCCGCACCAAGGTGTGGGTTGCCACTCGGTCCGAGCCCTCCGGCCAACGGCTTAATACTTAACGTAAGAGATTCCCACCCCCCACCCAGTTGGAATCCTTTGCTCAAGTTTTTTAGACGCAGAAAGAGAATGTCTGTCTCCAAACGTAGGAAAGAATCAGGTGTAATAGGAATCCAGTGGACCACCTTCCTTAAAGGGAACACAAAACTGTGTGGAAAAAGACTGTCCAATTCCTGGGCTGACTTGGAATTTCTTACGTGATGTCCTTCTTTCTCGGAGGCCGGTGAATATTCCTCACCACGCACTTCACCATCCACTCAATTCCCTCGTTCACTCCTTTGCTAAGGAAAGAAGGTAAGTAGACATGGTTTAAAAACAAGACCAGAACAACAGAGCACCCAGAACAAAACCACGGCTCACGCAGTCCCCACCGAGCCCTCCCAAGAGCACGTGAAGGGTTCTGCCCTGCAGGGACTCGCTGCCATCGCTGCGGCGGCATCTCGTACGCGCGAACAACAGGGAGCCGGTTTCTTTTAATTCAGTATATAAACCCCATCCTTCATTTTTCTGCTGGCTGTAGAAATCTACATCCAATTGAGTTAGTCATCAACTCTGTGGAAACCTTGGGGTGAATAAACAGCAAACCACTTGACAGTCAGCTGGTCTGAGGTTATTTTGCTACAAGTCTCAGGCTTTTGGTATCAGACCTTCCAACCCTGGCCCTAACTTTCTGTAATCATCACCGACTGGCCTCCAGTTTCCCCAGGACTTCCACAATTGACTCTATTTTCTTTTTTAGTGCAAACTCAAACTGAAATTTCGAAAGGAAATTCCACGCAGATCAAAACTAGAAGTGTTTGTACAGAAAACACAACAAACTGAAAAGGTTGCACTTCGCAAGATTATTATCTAATACTTCTCTTCCAGTCAGGGCTTAACCACTGTTCTTCTGCTTGTGGTTGTTCATCTGCATTTGATTCTTAGCCATGCGGACAACAGAGATTTTTTTCTTGTGGTTTACGAAGCTTTTCTTACCCTTTGCAGTAGCTTGTGTGGTAGCACAGCTTTCTTGCTAGATTAAAAGCAGAAATCTCACAGCTCTGCACTCGGTACAGGCAGTAATTCAGACCGGAGTACTCCTAGCCAACTGGAACGGTCCTTCTGACTGACGCCCAGGAGCACTTTTCACCCAAAGAACCGAAAGCGTAACCAAACGTGCTATCAAGAATCCGGCGGGTTGGTCAAGGTCCCGGCAGCTGCGTGGCGTGCAGGCCTGAAGGAGGACAGCCCCCCCCCCAACATTCTGCTCTCTTCTAGTCATTGTATCTTAAACCACAGGCATCCCCAGTGGAAGAACACTTTGGAGACTGCTGTATTCTCGACACAACAAAGCTTATCTGCACGCCAGAAAACAAGGAAGCAAGAGCGTAATTACTGGGCCGACAACGGAATACTGCTCACTTCTCTGGCAGGGTCATCAACAGCTGTATTCTCAACTCAGTCCTTACAGAGAAGCCAGGAGCTGCAGCAGGTCAACGACTGCAAAAGTTGTTGTGGATGGAGAAGGGACGATGGACACAATCAACGGCTCCGTACGCCTCCCGGCCCCGCTGCCCTCAGCACACCTTCACCCTCTTTCACCTTACAGTTAACACACCTACTGACCTGGCGCAAGCCCGCGGTTCACAAACAAGAACCTGTCACTGCCGGAAGGATGCGCAGCTCCTTTTCAGGAGGAAGTTAAACCCCACAGTACTGCTCTGCTTGCGGGACACCCGGGAGCTGGCCGGTTAACGGCAGCACCGTCCAGCCTCGTACTCACCCGGTAAGAGCAGAGCAGGCTTGTGTCAGGCAGTCTCTCTTCCCGATTTTGTTAATGCAGTCGCTGAACGCTGTCTTGATGTCAGGGATTGACAGACAGGTCTGCAAGGGAAACCAGAGAAGAGCTTGCATTCTGTGCTACAAAAGGTGCGACCTTCTTCCAAAACGAATCCCACCACATCCACCACCCCGCTTGAGTCAGGATGGCACAACTCCGTTAAACCCTCTCACGCACCGACACCGCAAATTCACATCCTTGCAGTCACAAAAACCCCAAAAACCCAAGCGTATCCTTTATTCACCAAAGAGAATGCTGTTTTCAGGCAGTACACACACATGGCCACACCTCCCAAGTCCCCAAGATGTAAACTTCCGAGCAGCGTCACGAACTGAGCACAACCTGCACCCCTCGGACCCCCCCTCCCGCCTGCCCCACGCCGGTTGGGTCCAGCACAACACTACAAGAGCCTTCTGAATCCAACCCAGCGGCCTGGGTCGTGCC